GATTCTAGTTTGCCCTTTTGTGGGCGCCCTGGGGGCACCAGATTGACGCACTAGATTATACTTCGCCGTTCTGGCGGTACTCTTGGGTATTCTCGGGGCACCAGAGCGGCGATGTAGTTTCTAGTTCGCCCTTTTGTGGGCGCCCTCGGGGCACCAGAGTGACGCGCTAGATTCTAGTTCGCCGTTGTGGCGGTATTCTTCGGGCACCAGGACAGCGAACTAGATTCTAGTTCGCCCTTTTGTGGGCGCCCTGGAGGCACCAGAGTGACGCACTAGTTTCTAGTTCGCCTTTCTGGCGGTACTCTCGGGGCACCTAGTTTGCCCTTTTGTGGGCGCCCTGGGGGCACCAGAGTGGCGAACTAGAGTCTAATTTGCCGTTCTGGCGGTACTTTTGGGGCACCAGAACGGCGAACTAGATTCTAGTTCGCCCTTTTGTGGGCGCACGGGGGGCACTAGGATGACGAACTAGATTCTAGTTCGCCGTTCTGGCGGTACCCCTGGGGCATCAGAGCGGCAAACTAGGATATAGTTTCCTTTTGGGGGGCGCCCGGGGGGCACTAGAATGACGAATTAGATTATAATTCGTCGTCCTGGCGGCACAACGGCGAACTAGATTCCAGTTCGCCCTTCTGTGGGCGCCCTGGGGGCACCAGAGTGACGCACTAGATTCTACTTCGCCGTTCTGGCAGACTCTTGGGTATTCTCGAGGCCAGAGCGGCGAACTAGATTCTAGTTCGCCTTTGTGTGGGTGCCTTGGGGGCACCAGAGTGACGCACTAGATTCTAGTTCGCCGTTCTGGCGGTACTCTTGGGGCACCAGAGCGGCGTACTAGATTTTAGTTCGCCTTTTTTTGTGGGCGCCCTGGGGGCACCAGAGTGACGCACTAGATTCTAGTTCGCCGTTCTGGAGGTATTCTTGGGGCACCAGAGCGGCGAACTAGATTCTAGTTCGCCCCTTTTGTGGGCGCCCTGGGGGCACCAGAGTGACGCACTAGATTCTAGTTCGCCGATCTGGCGGCACTCTTGGGGCACCAAAGCGGCGAACTAGATTCTACTTCGCCCCTTTTGTGGGCGCCCTGGGGGCGCCAGGGCACCAGGACAGCGAACTAGATTCTAGTTCGCCCCTTTTCGTGGGCGCCATGGGGGCACCAGAGTGACGCACTAGATTCTAGTTCGCCGTTCTGGCGGTACTCTTGGGGCACCAGAGCGGCGAACTAGATTCTAGTTCGCCCCTTTTGTGGGCGCCCTGGGGGGCACCAGAGTGACGCGCTATATTCTAGTTCGCCTTTCTGGCGGTACTCTTGGGGCACCAGAGCGGCCGAACTAGATTCCAGTTCGCCCTTTCGTGGGCGCCCTGGGGGCACCAGAGTGACGCACTAGATTCTAGTTCGCCGTTCTGGCGGTACTCTTGGGTATTCTCGGGGCACCAGAGCAGCGAACTAGATTCTAGTTCGCCCTTTTGTGGGCGCCCTGGGGGCACCAGAGCGACGCGCTAGATTCTAGTTCGCCGTTCTGGCGGTACTCTTGGGGCACCAGAGCGGCGAACTAGATTCTAGTTCGCCCTTTTCTGGGCGCCCTGTGGGCACCAGAGTGACGCACTAGATTCTAGTTCGCCGGGGCACCAGAGCGGCTGAATAGATTCTAGTTTGCCCTTTTGTGGGCGCCCTGGGGGCACCAGAGTGACAGACTAGAGTCTAATTCGCCGTTCTGGCGGTACTCTGGGGCACCAGAACGGCGAACTAGATTCTAGTTCGCCGTTTTGAAGGCGCACTGGGGGCACCATAATGACGAACTAGATTCTACTTCGCCGTTCTGGCGGTACCCCTGGGGCATCAGAGCGGCGAAGTAGGATGTAGTTCCCCTTTTTTGGGCGCCCTGGCGGCATTATAATGACGAACTAGACTCTAATTCGCCGTCCTGGCGGCAGAACGGCGAACTAGATCCCAGTTCGCCGTTTTGTGGGCGCCCTAAGGGCACCAAAGTGACGCACTAGATTCTAGTTCGCCGTTCTGGCGGTACTCTTGGGCATTCTCGGGGCACCAGAGCGGCGAACTAGATTCTAGTTCGCCCTTGTTTGGGTGCCCTGGGGGCACCAGAGTGACGCACTAGATTCTACTTCGCCGTTCTGGCGGTACTCTTGGGGCACCAGAGCGGCGAACTAGATTCTAGTTCGCCCGTTTGTGGGCGCCCTGGGGGCACCAGAGTGACGCACTAGATTCTAGTTCGCCGTTCTGGCGGTACTCTCGGGGCACCAGAGCGGCGAACTAGATTCTAGTTAGCCCTTTTTGTGGGCGCCTTGGGGGCACCAGAGTGACGCACTATAGTTTAGTTCGCCGTTCTGGGGGTACTCTTGGGGCACCAGGGCAGCGAACTAGATTTTAGTTCGCCCCTTTTTGTGGGCGCCCTGTGGGCACCAGAGTGACGCACTAGATTCTAGTTCGCCGTTCTGGCGGTACTCTGGGGCACCAGAGCGGCGAACTAGATTCTAGTTCGCCCTTTTGTGGGCGCCCTGGGGGCACCAGAGTGACGCACTAGATTCTAGTTCGCCGTTCTGGCGGTACTCTTGGGCCACCAGAGCGGCGTACTAGATTTTAGTTCGCCCCTTTTCGTGGGCGCCCTGGGGGCACCAGAGTGACGCACTAGATTCTAGTTCGCCGTTCTGGCGGTACTCTCGGGGCACCAGAGCGGGGGCGCCAGATTCTAGTTCGCCCTTTTGTGGGCGCCATGGGCAGACTGTTGGTGTTTTGGGGGGTGGCAGGAACGAAAACGAACGTCGATGTCGTAAGTGTTTGGCGATGTTGACCATGTTTGCCGCTCTTTTCCAGCCTCCGTTTCCTCGTCGTCATGTCGTCAGCACATATCGTCCTCTTCCCCCCCCCCGCCCCTTTCCTGCTTTGTCCCCGGTGCATCCTATTGCGGCTTCTCTTCATTGCACTGCGCGTGCACCTCATGCTGATCATCGACTTGTTGCGTTGCGTTGCTGCCCACTGTCCCCCTCGCAGTTTTTTCTGTCGCCGCTTTCCTCAACGTTTTGATCTCTTGGAGATTGGTTTGTTTATATCCTCTGGCGGGTACCGCTTGTTTTCCGGCCTCGAAGATGCTCCCAGGAAGCCCCCAGGGAGTCCCAAGAGGGTCGAAAGATTGCCCAAGAGGGTCCTAGGATGGTTGGAGACGCCTCGACAAAGCGTTTCAGCGTCAAACGGACAACGCGGGAACACATGTAATAAAGAACCCCGAAAGTCCAAAATTATTAGATTCCTCTATTTTTTTGCGCTTTTCCAAGGGGGGTGCCTTTGTGCGTCTTCGCTTTTCCGGTTCCCCGATGCTCCCAGACGGCCCAAGAGACCCTAAATATTGCTCCAAGACCCCCGTTGGAAGCCCCCAGAGGCCACCAAGAGGGGACAGAAGCCCGAAAAAGCGAGAACGCCAGAATCATTCAGAAACTACTTACAGGGGGGAGCACTGATTTGGGCTTCTTCGGGCCCTGTTGGAAGTCCCCCTGTGGCCATCTTGGATGCTGATTGCACCGTCGTGAAGCCATGTTGGGCTGCCTTGGGGCCATCTTGGGCCGTCTTCGTGGCATCTTGGGCAATCTTGGTGTCCTTGGTTGCCTGCCTGCCTTGATCGTGTTGGAAGCTCGGGACGCTGATACATCGTTTGTTTACGCGGAATCGTGGCGTCAGGAACACGGGCCCGCAGCTTTCGTACGAGAGATCGTGGCCTCGGGAGGGGGGCGGCGATACGCGCAACGAGGCGCGAGCTGGGGCGGGCCTTTTTTAGAACACAGAGACCCTACCAGACAGGCTTTGGCATTCCTTCACGCCTCAACGTGCACATGGAACGGCGGCGAACGTCCAGGCTTCCCAGCGACAGCTAGCGTTGCCGTGTCTCGCGGTCGCTTGCAAGCAGAGCACGGTTGCACACAAACGTCGCGGGATGCCGAGGCGGACGCGTCAGAAACGGCGAAAAAAACAGGGAGCATGTTGAGACAAGGATGCAAGACAATTTGGGTGCGCGTCGTTATCACGGCCCCAGGCGGCCCGCGATGCCGAGAGGGTGAGCAGAGGGACAAAAATCACGATGGAAGGTTTTTGGCCGTTTTCGGCCTCAGGGAGCCCTCGCTGGGCCCCGGGACCGTGAAACAACAAGTCTGGATGAGAAGGGGACCTTGGGGAAAGGGTCGGGACTTCCGGGGACCCCGTATCGGACAAATCAAGACATCGGATGTCTGGGGAGGAAGGGGTCGGGGGCCCCCGAACGGTGCGGGGGCCGCACCGTGTGGTGAGTCGGTGGGGATTTCCGGATGGCCGCACCGTTTTGGGACGTCGGTCGCTCTCCGAGGACGTCTCGGGCGACCGAGGCATCCCGAGCGGCAGCGGGGCAGCGGGAAGGGGCGAGCAGCGGCGGAGGACGACAGGGCGCGGGAACGGACGAGCAGGCCCAGAGTCGGCCTTCCTGGTTGATGCCAGCGCTGGTTCCTGGCACAGTCTCTTGCTGGGTCCCACTGGCCTCTAGAGCCCTGGGTGCCGCCGCAGCTGCCCCGCTTGTCTAACTCTAAGAGGTGCTGCTCGGGACCCACACGATTGCACCACTTGATGCGCAAGCACACAAATGTCAGAAACCTTACGACACAAGCATTAACTTTCTTGGGCTCCAGATTTCGCTCAAGAAAAACAAGAATATGTCCCTGGGCATTTTCTTGGAGCTTTGTTGATTCAGTCGGAGTTTCGTAGACCTGGACCTGGCAGAATGCTTAAGACTACGCTTGGAGTGAAGTCCGCTTAGTTGACTTAAAATTGTTCTAACTCTCAGCCGGGGTGCATTGCAAAAGGCAGTAGGATTCAGGCACGAGTGAGTTACCAGTCCTCCACGCGTCAGCCATCATTGCCGTTTGTGGGGTGGCTGACATCAGTTCGACCTCAGATTGACATTCAGGTTGCCCCGTCTGATGTCACAAGCTAGGGCACCGCAGCATGCACGATCAGTGTTCGCTTGAATCGGAGTTCCGCAGCCATGTTGATTCAAATCTAGGCTAAAGCAGGGAGGATGGTAGCTTCGAGCTCCAACAACATGTTTGCAATGGGAGTGTCAGGGCGCGGCGTCAGAAATGCCTTGAACATTTTTGTTATGGCACTGGCAATCGAGGTGTTATACACGGTGCCGTACGGGCTGACGTCGTCCTTCCGACCCCTTTTCCTCGAGACTTTCGGTTTGGACAACCACCAGGTTGGTACCTTGTCGTCGGCGTATGGCATTGTCAGCATGTGTTTGTACATTCCAGGAGGCTACGTCGCCGACCGCTTTCCACCGAAGTTGTTGATGGTTAGTGCGCTCTTGACAACGGCTGCATGTAGTTGCTACCTTCTCACGGGCCCTTCGTTCTCGGAATTGGTCCTCGTTTGGGCTTTTTTGGCAGTTGTGGGCACTATCTTGTTTTGGTCCTCCTACGTATCGCTCATACGACACATCGGCGGCGAGGATCATTCGGGAATTGCTTTCGGTTTTGAGCAGACCTCACGAGGCGTATCAGCAGCAATGATGACCGTGGCTTTGGCTGCCGTGGTGCGCGAGGCGATGCCGGCCCAGACAGCAGCTAGCGCTGATGTAAAGCACGAGGCGTTGACCATGTTGCTCATGCGTTTGGCCGCGCTCAACGTTGTGATGGCCTTCGTCATCATGCTCGCTCTCCCGTCCGGGATGGCCGCGCGGGTTGATAAGCACCCAGCTGAAGAGGCTTCGACTGGAGTCAGCACTATCTTGGACATTATTCAACGACCCGCTGTTTGGTTGCATGCGTTGATCGTGGTAGCGGCCTATTCTGGCAATCTGGCGACCGACCAATTCGCAGGGTTTGCGAGGTACGGTTACGCTATGGACATGGTGCAAGCCGCACAGATTAGCTCATTGGTCAAGGGGATGCGTGCTTGGTCTGGGCTCCTGGCTGGCGCGGCAGCTGATCGCTGGGGTAAGTCCAAGGTATCCTGCTGTTTGTTCTTGTCTTACAGCTGTACTTACTCTTGGGTGGCCCTGGCGCCAATCGATCCAACTGACCACGGCATGTTGATGGCTCAGATCGCGGCCTCAGCGGCTAGTGTGTTTGGAATTTCAGGGGTCTATTTCTCTCTTCTCGACGACGTTAATCTGCCTTCTGGGCTAGCAGGCACTGCAGTTGGGATGATCTCTGTCATCGGTTACACCCCAGATATCTTCATGGGCAAGATCTCGGGGTATTGGTTGGACACCTACCCTGGCGCCAGTGGCTATCAAAGCTTCTACTTATTTATGGCGTGCGTTGGGCTTCTTGGTTTTCTAGTGAATCTCGCCTTCGCCCACGCCGTAGGGAAATGCAGCGATCTGGCGTCGGAGTCACATAGACGGAAGGCTTAGTAGGCCGAGAGCAGCACCGTCTCTGCCGCACTCGAAATTGACTCTAGGAGTACCGGACTGTCCCTTTGTCTGGGGGAGGAGTTTGTGGAGGCCAGCAGCAGCCAGAGTACACCCGTCGCATGTTTGGCGGGCGTTGAATTCATGTCCCATCCGAGTCGATTTTTCATGTGCGGGTCATCAACGCGTGGCGGCGATTAAGTACAGTTCGCGCCAATTCAGGCGACTCTGGGGGGACGGGGACACTGCAACCATTACAGCTGCACTTGAGCGCTAACTTGACACATGTTTTGATAAGCATGCTGCATGCCAATTGGCACGCGAGCACGCTGGAGGGAGGTTTTGCGTGTTGCCGCCAGACTTGCTGGATTTTCCCAAACATGCCCTGTGCGTTGCACTGCGACTCTGGGGGTGGGGGCACTGCAATCTTTACAGCTCGGTTCGAGCGCTGACCCGACACGCCTTTTGACAGGCATCCTTCACGCCAATGAGCAAGAGATCGTGCGAGAAAGTTTGCGCATTGTCAGTGCAGCGACAGGCCATCGAGCACTTAGGCAATCGAGTCATCTATGCCGGGATCACCTACACGAAGGCATGCAAGTAGTAAGCAAGATCGAAAGACCATGGATGGTAGCCATGATCGCAGAGCTTTTTTTCGGTCAAAAGATTGGTAGGGCTTTGCGCGCGCGCCATGATATTCCCGTCCGCGAATGGGGGGAAGAGAAAAAGTGCTCGTCAGAGTCGGAATCCACAAGGCAACATCGTTGCCCCTCACAATGAGCGCCATTCAGAGTTCGGCTTCCTCGCGCAAGGCACAGCGTTGGGCCCAGGCCTGAGTGGCACACGTCAGTGGTGAAGGTCAGCAGTTCTCGAGCACGCGCTGGCGTACAGTGCGGGCGGAAGCTCGGACCGCACCCGTGCTCGCTCGCCACAACGCGCGAGGCAGAAGCGGCACGCCGGGGTTGCCAGAGATGTCGGGCCTCGGCTCGAATACATGGCCAATATCTTTGAGCATTCCGTTGCAAGTACAATCAACGCGTCTAGTAAGGACGCGCGCCTTCATCTAGGGTACCCTTGTGTCCTTGCCCCTGCGGCCTTTCCTTTGCTGTTTTCACTGGTCGCCCGCCGCCCAAAAAGTCTCAACCTCGGCCTCCAAGGGTCTTGCGTCCTTACCAACCGTCCTGAATACACGCTTTGATTGTATACGTCGACCATGTGCGCATGTATACGTACGCGTGTGTTGAACGCAGTCGACTAGGCGCTGTCGATTGCGTGGTTGTGGCCAACAGCAAAAGAAGCAGCCAGTGCAGTGGTACGCCGCAGACATCGCCCAGACCTGCCGAAGCCGTCACGAAATTTGGTCTCGAGACTTATGTGTCCCGTCTTCTGGAGCGGTATTGTGTTCTGTATTTGGCCGTGCTGACGAAACAAACTGTCTCTGCATATATATATATATATATATATATATGTATATAGTCATTCCTTCTCCTGTGCAGACTTCAATGTTGAAGCATGCGCCGTAGGTCAGAACCAGTGTCGCAGTATGTCCCAAACAGATTGGTGGACTTGAACCGTCCTGTTGCCTCACTTGGCTGTGGCCTCTGGAAGCGGCGATGAGTGCCCGTTTGTCCACCCACGCGCATGTACTCATCCGCTCGCGTTCACAGGCTTTCGACAAGCTCGGCGCTATCAAGCCAGGCGCAGACACCACCGCGCTCACCGCAAAGATCGCAGAGAATTTTCGCCTCGGGAAGGTCTGGATTGCCAGCAGGGAGCAGGAGCGTTACCTGGAGGGCGCGAGGAATCGCTCTAGGAGAGAGAGAGTTGGATAACGACACGGAGGATAGAGAAGGGTGGATAGATAAGGAAGAAAAATAGTTGGAAGATGACGAAGTGGAGGAGAAGGACGCGGTGGATGAGCAGGACAAGACGCAGGAGCAGAAGGAAGAGGAGGAGCCGCTGTTCCTTGTAGTGTTGAGAATGGAGCCTCCAGTGAGTTTCGGAGCAGAGGCGTGGATTCTCCGACGGAGTGCCCATCAATATCATGACAGCGGCCATGTGCGAAACCCATCGATCGCGAATATCATGCACCGTGTTTCTCTTCGACCGCGCAGGAGGAGGGTAAAGAAGACGACGAGGATGTGGAAGAGGCGGGAGGGAGAGACGTGCGGGGAGGAAGAGGAGGAAGGGGAGGGAGGTGAAACGAGGAAAGTAGGAGGGGAGGGCCTAATTCGCCTGATGTGGACATCTTGCTCACCAATGTTTGCAGCCCGAGTCAGCACTGCCCGTACGAGAAACGATCATTGTCGTATAGTTTTACGAGAAGATTGGAGCACATCTTCAAGCCAATGTGAACGTGCTCAGGGTCCCGAGCTAAGCCTGCACCGCGCGGCCAAGGCCTGCTGCTGCTTGGCCATCTTCGCCTCCAGCTCGTCCTGCACGCTCCGGACCTCCGCGGCAACGAAGTCCTTCTGCGCGGCAACCTGCCCGCCAACCCCTTGCTGGCTTCCCCAGCTCCACGCTCGTCGGGGGCCCCCAAACTGTGTGATGACCACACCGTGTGGTGAGTCAGCGGGGATTCGGGGTCACAGCGCTGTTGTGGGACCCTGGTCGTTCTCCGACGACGTCTCGGGCGACCGGGGCCTCCGAGGTCCCAAGACCGTGCGGTGACGGACCGCGCGGTGAGGTCGCTGGGGGTTCCGAGGTCACCACGCGGTCCGTCACCACGCGGTTTTGGGGTCCCGAATTTCGGCTCCGCAATCGCCGCCTCCTGTGGCGCCGCGGTCGGCTGCACGATGGGCGCCCCGTCTGGCCTAGCCCTCGGGCCGCCCTCGGGCGCTGCAGTGTGACCGCCTCCGCCTCGCCCTCCGCCCCACGTCCTGCGCCCGCTGCGGAGCCACGCTCAGCTCCGCGAACGGCCCCTCCTGGTCCGCGCACAGCCTTCTCCGATCCGCCCCTGGCGCCATCTGCCCTCAGCGGCGCCTCTTCCGAGACGGCCGCCCGTGGACATAGCACGGTGGCCTCG